GTAACCTCCCCTCCTCCATCCAGTCCCGTCTATCCATGGTGAATCAAATGGAACCCACTATCCAGGCTGGCATTGTCAGCGTGCAGCATGGCCTACCCTCTTCAAGCAGCTCCAGTCAGAGCATCCCTGCCTGTAAACAACATGCTCTTGTGGGCTTTCTGGGAACAGAAGGAGGGAATAATGTAATTGATGTACAGTCAGTAACCTCCCCTCCTCCATCCAGTCCCGTCTATCCATGGTGAATCAAATGGAACCCACTATCCAGGCTGGCATTGTCAGCGTGCAGCATGGCCTACCCTCTTCAAGCAGCTCCAGTCAGAGCATCCCTGCCTGTAAACAACATGCTCTTGTGGGCTTTCTGGGAACAGAAGGAGGGAATAATGTAATTGATGTACAGTCAGGGGGTAATGCAAGCCCTGCAAACCATATGCAAGCCAAAAGGGATGAAGTTATTTATAGAATCCAGGTGAATCAACCAGCATCTATACTTCTTTAGGTTGTATTTTTTCCCTCATTTTTTTTATTATCTTACACGTTGTAGTAACAAAATAACATGACCGCCGTCTTCTATCCACACACGTGTCCTGGAGCTCCTCAGTGCAGAACAGAAGTGTAGATATGACTAAGAAGTTTCATCTTTATTTTGCTAAACAGTTGGCTACTGGTATACTAAGCACTATCTAGTCACATGACAGACATGTTTTATTTTAGCACGCAGCTGAGAGAGCTGGAATATGTTCTGCTTCATATATTAACTACAAACTAATCAGTTTAGTTTTGCTTACGGTATCACTGTTTGCTGGTAATAACATAAAAATGTACAAAGTTTTTGAGCATGTGCCAGTTCACCATTGACTTAAGTTGCCAGGGGAGACCTTGGTAGTTTTGTTGAAATCTGGAAGCTAAACACAAACTCTAGCTCGTGGCTCTCTGTAAACACTTGAATATGTTTACAATAGAGCATTGCTGGGAGAAATTTAGAAGCTGATCTAACAGGATAAAGGTATTCAGCTTGCTTCACATGGTGACACAACTTAAGGCCATAGGGAAGCCTGTCATGGTTGTAGTCATTCAGTAAAACTTGATAATTGTGAATACATTTGTATATCTTTTGTATTCAGACAGGGGCTGGTTAAGTAAAATACAGCTAAGATCTGTTAATGGTCAGGGCCCCTCTATAAAACTACATTTTCCAAAAAATATTTGGTGTGTGTGTCCTCTTTGTAAACTCTTGTTTGAGGGATACAAGAAGAGGGAGGTTTTCTACAATGCTTTCCTGCTAGCTTCTTCTAGGTGCAGAAAGCCTGTTTACTGGCTGGTCTCTGCTGAGCATCTTAAATGGAACTTAATTCTTTTGCCTAGTGATAAATCCTCTGAGCCTTGTGCTCTACGTGCCCAAATGTGGAGGCTTGTACCACTCAAGTTTTCTAAAATGTAGCTCTTAGCTAACTTCCACTACAGGCTTTGTAGTGCTTAGAGCTTGAGTATGCATCCTCTGAAGCTTTGCCTCTGACTTTAGTGGGTGCAAGATCAGTCCTTCAAAGAACAACAGTTTTGACTAGCTTCTAGGAGACCAGTTGTAGTTTCACTGTTCACCATTCATTGGTGACTCCATAATAGTCTAAAATCAGTTTCTTTTCACATTAGATCATGGATCCCAGCCAAGTTCTGGAAGGCATCAACATGTCCAAAAGGAAGGAGCTGCAGTGGCCAGATGAGGTGATACGGCTAAAAGCAGGAAGAAATGGCTGGAAAGA